ACACCATTGCCAGTAGGGACCTAATCAGTCTGTGGTGACCCTAGTGACCCTCTGTAACATGGTGATGAATCCTACAACCATATTTCTGACTGGGGGCACTGGGCTTTTACTGAGTAGTGCTCAAAATACTGTCAAATGATGCAAATAACTATAGATATCCTGTATTTTGTAGATTATTCGTATTTTTTAAAGAGAGTGATTTTTATGCTACATATCAGTGTGTTTCCTTTAGACAGAAATAACAATGTTAATAATAATACTAATCAGCTTGGTGTTCCTATTTTTTTGGTAACACTGAATTTTTTCATATTCCTTTATTAAAAATTATTTTTATTTTTATTATTTGCTTTCTTGGGAAATCAGATTCCTTTTTATAAAGGGTATTTCTGAGCTATAATTTAGTCTCCTGAATGAATCTATCTGGGAATGCCTTAAGCAAAATCACTGCTATAGGTATTTGAACAAGTTATGTTCTTTATAATTAATACAATTATTAATTCATACAGTCTGTAAGTCAAAGTCTTGTAAAATTGGTTAATACTGGTTTTCATTCAGCAAATATTTACTGAGTATCTACTGTGTGGCAGGTTGGGCTAGAGGCGGGATACAATAGTGAAAAAGGCAGACATGGCCCTTTAATCAGTCTGATGATGATCATAGGCCTAACCAGCCCATACTCAACTGATGCGATGTAGTTCCTGAGCCTGTTAAACTGTAGGGTAAATCATGGGCTGAACACTCACTCAGTGAAGTCTTATCTGAAAGAGCTAGGCAGTTTCCCCCCTCATTATAACCCTTAGATCTGAGAAAAGAGAAGGGAAGGAGTGGGGAATAGAGAGAGGAAAGGCAGAAGAATGTCAGTTGAGGTACTGATGCCACTGAAAGCACCACAAAAGTGGCTGAGGCTGAAGGCAGAACCACAGCATCCAAGCTTTTAAAGTCACAGTTACGCCAGGTGTGGTGGCTCGCGCCTGTAATCCTAGCACTTTGGGAGGCCAAGGCGGGCGGATCACGAGATAAGAAGATTGAGACCGTCTTGGCTAACATGGTGAAACTCTGTCTCTGCTAAAAATATAAAAATTAGCTGGGCACAGTGGCAGGCGCCTGTAATCCCAGCTACTTGGGAGGCTGGGGCAGGAAAATAGCTTGAATCAGGGAGTCGGAGGTTTCAGTGAGCCAAGATTGTGCCATTGCACACCAGCCTTGTGACAGAGTGAGACCCCATCTCAATAAATAAATAAATAAAGACATAATTATTGCCCATTTGTCTCAAGTTTCCCAAATGCCAAAGCAACCCTGTAATACTATGATATAATGAATATATATTTGGCCTCCATCCCAGGTTCCTGGCACAAGAGCTTCTAAAATTCATGGAATCTCCAGAGTGATGTAGGTGTCTTTCGCATGCTAATGAGATGACTGGGCTTAGAGGATCTTGGATAGCTTTAGGATGGGGACTGGTTGCCAGAAAGACCAAGGCATTATTAGAGGGTTGAAACTTTCAGCCCCTTCCAGCAGGTCTTGGGGAGGGGAAAGGGGCTGGAGATTGAGTTAATCACCAATGGCCAATGTGTAAATCAATCGTGCATACAGAATGGAACCTCCATAAAAACCCTAAACAGAGGAGTTTGGATAGCTCCGGGTTGGTGAGCACATCTATATGCCAGGAGGTGGTATATGCCCCAACTCCATGGGAACCGAAGCTCCTAGACCCTTCTGGAACTTGCCCTATGTACATCTTCACCTTGGATGGTCACCTGTGCCCTTATAATAACCTTTAAAATCACCCGGTAATAGGGAGGAAAGTGCTTCTCTGAGTTTCATGAACCATTTCAGCAAATTACTGAACCTGAAGAAGGGGTTGTGGGAGCCCTGATTTGTAGCCAAATCGGACAGAAGTGTGGGTAACCTGGAAAATGACTACTTGCGATTGGTGTCTGAAGTGTGAGGCAGTTTTGTGGGACAGAGCCCTTAACGTGTGGGCTCTGCCCTGACTCCAGGCAGTGTCAGGACACCCAGCTGTAGGACAGCCAGCTGGTGTCTGCAGAGAGTGTCAGAGTGTTCTGTGGGTAGAAAGAGATCCTGGTGGTAGTAAATAGTAAATCCCTAAAGGGGAATGCAGCAAGAAGGTGGACGCTATCAAAAGTTCTCTATACTGGATTTACAGAGCCAGTTTTGGGAAGCACATCTAGTAAATTCTTCATTTTAAAAGTCTTTTACAATTCTTCTTAAAATTTTGGCCAGGCATGGTGACTCATGCCTGTAATTACAGCACTTTGGGAGGCCGAGGCGGGTGGATCACTTGAGGTCAGGAGTTTGAGACCAGCCTGGACAACATGGCAAAACCTCATCTCTACTAAAAATACAAAAATTAGCTGGGTGTGGTGTCAGGTGCCTATAATCCCAGCTACTTGGGAGGCTGAGGAAAGAGAATCACTTGAACCCAGGAGGCGGATGTTGCAGTGAGCTGAGATCGCACCATTGTACTCATGCCTGGGAACAGTGGACAGAGCAAGACTGTATCTAAAAAAAAAAAAAAATCCTAATTGCAAGCTAACAAGTTATACCATTATTTTCTTACCCATTTAGGGTAAGACATTTTGATAGGAAAGAAATGTCTTACCTATCAAAAGGGAGGGAAAGGTTAGGGTTACATCATAGTTCTGTGTTGTATACTCCTACATTTTTGTCTGTCATTCAATAATAACAGGGATTAAACAGAAGCTAGTTCTAAAGCTTTATAGTCTTTTTAGTTGTACATCTGAAAAACATTGAATTATATAGTCATTCAGTCAGTCCAAATTTGAGCCTCAGAGCTGAACTTGGATGAGTCCAGTTTCAACCTATGAAGTGGACAGAAAGATATTTCTACCTAAGTCAACAGAGCAGCACTTCTTACCTCATACCATGGTGGGGAAAGCTGAGGAAAAAAACACATTGTACCAATTCATGCTATGGACAGTCCTATGAGACTACAGGGACTTGGACATGAGCTCAGGCCCCTAGCCATGGAGAACTCCCAAGGTATACCCACAGTGGCTCATTAGAGACAGGCTTCAGCAGTCTAGGTTCTCATTTTGCCAGCTTCAAGGGGATGGTGATCTCACACAGAATGAAAGTTCACTGAAACCAACATGTTGTGATTTAATCCCCTGTCTGCTCAAGGCTAGCTTTAAATTGACCTCAGAACTAATATCATAGCAGTGGCAATTCCTGTTTCTTGGATTACATGGTAATCCATAAAAATTTTAAAAATGAAATGTCTACTGGAAGCTCTACTGATACCACTAAGATAAATATCCACAATGCCTGCCCTCTTCTGAAAGAGTATTCAGGTGAGGTGTAGGGCGTTTCCAGTCCTTGCTCACTTGGAGCAGGCACACACAGAGGGAGATTAGGAGATGCTGTGCCAGTCTGGGCAGACTGTTGGAAGTAGGTTTGCAGCAAGTGGCTGCAGCAGCAAAGTGCACCTCTGGGGTATGGAGGGCTGAAGAGAAAGAGGGGACACTGGTGGTCAGCAACCACAGGTGAAATGACACCCTGGGTCAGCAGGAAGGGAATACTGCATAACAAGGGATGAGACTATCAGGAGCCAGGAGGATATGTGGTCTCCTTCCTCTCCCTCCAATGGTCTCATTCATATGCCTACTTGGGGGAGGTATTTCCAACATCTGCCTCTCTGGGACTTCTGGACAAGCTGGAGGATTAGACTTCCCAGCCCCCTCTTGAGGTGGAGTGTGGTCATGTGACTCACTCTGGCCAATGAAATGGAGAGGAAGTGAGCGTGTCACTTCCGGGAAGAAGCATGTAATGGCTGGGCCTGACTGCCAACCATTTCTGCTTTGCCCATCCAAATGTACCTACTGATGCAGGAGTGCCAGAAACGGAAGCAATAAACTCTGTGTGAATGAAGAAAAAAGCAAAACCAAATGTAGCAAAAACCAAAACAAGAGTACTTTGGTTCCATGAAAGCCATCAGATTTCTGGGGTGTTGGCCACTCTTGACGCCATGCGCCATCTTCTTTCCGCCTTTCTGACAGTCTGTCTCCTCTGCACCTTGCTCTCACCTCTTCCCCTCACCACCCATCTTGTCTTTCCTTTCCTCTCCCTTTTACTCTATGGTCCCACTGCTCTCCTAGCTGGAAATTATAAGTACAATGTTTTACATTCCTAATCTAAAACGTGTACATTTGTGTTTTTTTTTAAAAAAGGGTAAATTTTTAAAATTAAACATTTTATATTTCTCTCCTAAAGGAAAAAAAAGCTCCAAGGTAAATGAAAACTCAGCTTCAACTTTAAAAATGCATGCTTTGAGACTTTACTCTGTTATATAAACATACGGTGCTAATATTGTAGATAAGCCTGCAATTGACTTTCTTGAGTGGGTCAGTGGCTATCAGGAAAAACAAAAAGAAACCTAAAACTCCCCCAAACACGCAACAGCCGCACAGCTCGGAGAAGGCTGAACACCCTCTGGAGTAGGTTCTGAACCGGAAATCACTATAAGTAGCCAGCGTCTCAGTCGTCGTCAGGAATTTTGTTATGAAGGCTGGCGCAGCCCCACATCCAGAAACCTAGTCAAGACTGCAGGACATCTCCAGGTAGCAAAGGAAGTCCTCATTTTCATGCACATTCATTCATGACATGAGGTCACCCCAGCACCCCAAAAAGTTGTTTCAAGCAATTAAAATCACTCCAGATGCAAAACTACAGAGAATGAAAGAGCAGAAAATGCAATGGTAGCCTGGCTAATCATGCACACTTCAATAAGCACAACAGATGGGTACTTACAAGCTCTGGTATTAAGAACATGCTCTACCGGGTAAACATGCCTTGAACTTTCAGGTCATTTTACAACATCACGAGGAGAACCACTGAGGGCTTTACACATAAAACTCTCTTCAGAGATGATGTTCAGGGAGAAGAGAAACATTATGTAAAGAAAGAAAGAACATGCAAAAGGAGTGAGAGTCTGGTGGGAAATTCTGAAGTTCACTTACTGCCTGCTTTTGCTCTTCTTCCTGGAGGTGTTGAAGATGAAAAAAAAAAGGCAGAGGAAAAAAGGAGAGAAATTAATGCCCATCACCACAAACACTGGGAATAAATGACAGAAAAATCAGGCAAACCAGGCCAAGCCCATGGGTGCTGAGAGCAAAGGCCCCGTCCCCCACGGGAGCATCAGAGGACAAAGCAAGCGGCAGGCCTCAGCCCGGTGAGTGATTCAATGCTAACTCCCAGAGCTAGAAGGAAAGAACCTTAGAAACCACCCAGTCCAATACTCTTAGTGAAGATGAAACAGGCCTAGAGGGCCTGACCTGCCTAAGGTCCCACAGCTATTTCGGGGAATCTGAAAGAGGAAGTTCAACCATGACTTGAAATTCGAATGATCATTCTGTTTCATTATTCACCATATTTACACGTGTTTAGGTACATTTATCTAGGCAAGTGGTTTTCAGTGCATAGAACACAGACCAGCAGCATCGGCATCCCTTGGGAACTTGTCAAGAGATGTAAACTTAGTGCCACACCCTATCCCCACCAAAACGAAGCTCTAGGGGTGGGACACAGCAGAGCCTTCAATCTTGTCTCTGATTCTAGTGCATATAAGTCTGAGACCCATTGCTCTAATAACTTCCCAACTAGCAATTCTACTGACAGGTTCTTTTCTTATTTGATCCCCTCTCCAGACTTAACATGTTGGAACTGTACCCACGTCTACCTGCTTTCAGGCACAGTGTCTTTTTTTTTTTTCTTCAGTGAATCCCATACATACCCACTTCCCCCAATAAACTGGAAACTGCTTGGAGACCCTGAAAGGTCATTCAAAAAAAAAAAATTCTTGACTTCAGTTTTTCATTAATTGAACACAGGTTTATTTAATATCTCTCAGGCAGAAAGCACTGGAAACATAAAGAAATGGTCTCTGTCTTTTATTTATTTATCTATCTATCTATTTATTTATTGAGATGGAGTTTTGCTCTTGTTGCCCAGGCTGGGGTGCAGTGGTGCGATCTGCGTTCACTGCAACCTCCGTCTCCTGAGTTCAAGCGATTCTCCTGCCTCAGCCTCCCCAGTGGCTGGGATTACAGGCACGGGCCACCACATCTAGCTAATTTTGTATTTTTAGTAGAGCCAGGGTTTCACTATGTTGGCCAGGCTGGTCTCAAACTCCTGACCTCAGGTGATCCACCCACCTTAGCTTCCCAAAGTGCTGGGATTACAGGCATGAGCCACCGCACCCAGCTGGTCTGCCTTTTAGAACCTTTCAATGATGGTACATAGAACAGTCAATTGCTGGCTATCAGCTGACTGCCCAAATGAATGCACTACTAGATGCTGTAGGAAAAAGGATAAAGAGAACACTTTCAAGTTTCCCTCGCTTCAGTTTTTTGCTACTCATCTACCCTGTCTTTTCTGTTTTCTTCCTATTGATTTGCATACTCTTTTAATGGGTCTCTCTCATTTCAACTTTCTGTGCCTCATATGGATCACTGTAGTCAGAAAACCTCAGCTGTTTAGCCTAGTATGTAAATCTAAAATCTGTGAAATGGTTCTCTTTAAATTGGACCAATCCACGCAGCCAGTCTTTACTGAACATGTATGTGGAAGTCTTAGGAATGGTAAGTGCTCCTGCTCTCACACAGTCTATAGATCTGGCTGCAATGGTGAGAAAGACCTCAGTAAAGCAAAGGAATTACAAAAGGGAGAGGGTAAAAACACTTGGAGAACATAATTTTTATTGCTGCAAGGGAGAGACAGGGAGTAGAAATAAATGGGCACTGAGAAATCTCTTAAGGAGACTCCAACTTGGCACAGGAAGGTGCTCTTCACAATCAAAGCCAGATGCTTTAGCCTGACCAAAGCTAAACTCACAGGAGTCCAGGCACAGAGTGCTGAGCATTGGCTCTGGCAGCTTGGAGGAGTTGCAGCACTTTTGCTTGTGCACCTGCTTTACAGTTAGGAAGCAAGCTCTCTTCCTTGCCAGACTTCCCTTCGGGACAGGACACTTTTCTTATATTCATGAGGCAAGGCAAACACTCATAGGACAGTTATCAAACAATTATACAATGTTTTCATTGCTGGCACTGTGTTGAAGTGGAAAGTGCGATGGCTGGGGAGGGATGGGGCAATCCTAACACGCTGAAATTGTATCAGGTCAGAAGACTAGCATGTAATTTCTTACAACTGTTTCTAAGACATCCCTCTACTTTCACAGTTTTCTCCAGGTTTGGTATTAGAGAGAACACTGCTGTGGTTCAATAGAACAGGGAAATTTCAGAAAGCAATGTTTCATACTTGGACATCTGGTGACTGCAATTTAAGTTTGTCAGGAAAGAAATCATAATTTGCAGTAGACACAGATCAGGCTAGGATGGGAACAGTGGGCAGGACAGTGCTTCCAGGACTTAGAGGCCTTCCATGTGCCCTAGTATTAGGAGAGAGTGGACTTTGGCAAAGTGTTGTTTAGGATGGTGTGGTATAATTTAAACTCAGAAAACTTATTCAGATAAAGCCTTTTAGGCTCTGTTAACATGGTAAACAGGTCAGATCCAACGTCAGGGAGCCTCTGTGTTGTCAACTAGTCAACTGGGGTCACTAAATATTGACTGATGACAACGGATAGTGCCAAAGTGGTTTAAAAGGGGGTAATAACACCTTAATTGTAAAGTGTAAACTTAGAACTGCTTATGTCACTTAAAAACATGTGAGTCTCTTCCACATGAATGAGGTCTGGCAAAGTGGTCAAAGCAATGGCATAGCCACTGTTGGTCATTTACATAAAAATTTACACTCAAACTAGATAAACATTTGCAAATGAGGCTGAAACTCAAGACTGTAGAATTCATCTGGTAAACAAGTTTCTTTTTTTTTTTTTTTTGAGACGGAGTTTCGCTATTGTTACCCAGGCTGGAGTGTAATGGCGCGATCTTGGCTCACCGCAACCTCCACCTCCTGGGTTCAGGCAATTCTCCTGCCTCAGCCTCCTGAGTAGCTGGGATTACAGGCATGCACCACCGTGCCCAGCTAATTTTTTGTATTTTTAGTAGAGACAGGGTTTCACCATGTTGACCAGGATGGTCTCGATCTCTTGACCTCGTGATCCACCCGCCTCGGCCTCCCAAAGTGCTGGGATTACAGGCTTGAGCCACTGCGCCCAGCCTAGTAAATGAGTTTCAAAAGCAATATCAGACAAATGGAAAATGAAGTAGAACATAGATTAGAAACACCAACATATAAACACTTCTAGATTCAATACAAAGTTTTGAGGCTAGTAATTAATTAATACTCATTAATCAGGTGGAAAAGATATGTAGAGAAACATGAAAGCCTGAGTGTCAGTCTACATTATGTCATTAAAAAGAATAAAGGGTGGCCCATGCCTGTAATCCCAGCATTTTGGGAGTTTGAGGTAGTTGGATCACCTGAGCTCAGGAGTTAGAGACCAGCCTGGCCAACATGGTGAAACCCCATCTCTACTAAAAATACAAAAATTAGCCAGTTGTGGTGGCAGCTGCCTGTAATCCCAGCTACTCAGGAGGCTGAGACAGGAGGCAGGAGACTCACTTGAATCCAGGAAGAGAGGTTGCAGTGAGTCAAGATTGCACCACTGCACCCCAGCCTTGGTGACAGAGTGAGACTCCATCTTAAACAAACAAACAAAAAAAAACAAAGAAAGAGGGTCCTTGATACTCCTTGGTGACAGGGATTGAGTCTAGTCACCACGATATACCAAATAGGTCCTAATGTGACACTTAGGAACTCAACAGATTTTTGTTAAAAATTAATTTTTACCCTGCCTTGTTCCAAAAAAAGGATTAATATTTTTGTCGAATGAATTAACAAACAATGATGTCACTTCTTATGAATCCTTCTTTAAATGATCATTTTCAGATAGAAGATAAAGTATATAGTAGTTTACTGAAGCAGTAGAATGAAAAAACTCTCTGTGGCATGGAAATTTACTATGTGGACCATGTGGATTGACCGTCCATTTGACTAACTGCTATTTTATGAGAGAATTACATGCTTGCATACCGAAAATCAATAAAAGCAGAACAACCCTTTTACATTAAAATCAGAAGGTTTTTTTTTTTTTGCTGTTTTTTTTCAACAGGATCTCACTCTGTTGCCCAGGCTGGAGTACAGTGACTCGATCTCAGCTCACTGCAACCTCCACCTCCCAGGTTCAAGTGAGTCTCCTGCCTCAGCCTCCTAAGTAGCTGGGATTACAGGAACGTGCCACCATGCTTGGCTAATTTTTGTATTTTTGGTAGAGATAGGGTTTCACCATGTTGTCCAGGCTGGTCTCAAACTCCTGACCTCAGGTGATCTGCCTACCTCGGCCTTTTAAAGTGCTGGGATTACAAGTGTGAGCCACTGTGCCTGGCCTAAAATTAGGATTCTAAAGCATTCTTTTATGCGTTGATGAATATGTATTTTTAACAATAGGATAATACTGAAATTTTAATAGAAGTCAATAATTCCTGTGTATGACCTTTTAGATCAGCATACAGTACAAAAATTAAGACTATGTGGTAATTCTTTGAGGAATCTGGACACTAAGGGTGTGAAATTTTCAACTGTGAATTCTAGTCAATGGATAAAAAGACGATATTCCTGGATTTGTATTTGCAAATCCTTCTTCCCCATCTGAATAGCCTTAGCCTGTCAGATGGGTAAATGGTAAGGCATTTAAGAACCTGGCAGGGGATCTTACAGGGGCAACGGTGTCCTGCTTATTTTACTGAAATTAAAGTTGCAAATATAAAGAAACTCAGGGTTTGGGAGTAGAGTTCCAGGCATTAGCTCTTCTGCTTAGCCCTTGAATACAAGCATCAGTGGTATACTAGACGGCCACGGCGGCATGCATAGGGCTTGGAGTCAGTAGCTCTGGGGATTGTTAAGACAATCCAACTGAAAGGCAATGGACAGGGTTACTCAGGGGAGAGGCACTTTGACTTCCCTTCAGTTTATGTAAACCTTTGCGTTCTACAAAAATCACATTGGGGCACCAGGAGCTTTCCAGCTATGCTTGGGTAATCTTTGAGAACATCTTTCTAAAAGGCAGATTTGACACAGGAAAGAGATGAGTGGATCCCCCCCTTTTTTTTTTGAGATGGATCTTACTCTGTGACCCACGCTGGAGTGAAGTAGTACAATCTCCACTCACTGCAGACTCCGCCTCCTGGGTTCAAGCAATTCTCCTGTCTCAGCCTCCCGAGTAGCTGGAATTACAGGCACATGTAACCACGCCTGGCTAATTTTTGTATTTTTAGTAGAGATGGGGTTTTGCCACGTTAGCCAGGTTGGTCTTGAACTCCTGGCTTCAAGTAATCCACCTGCCTTGGCCTTCCGAAGTGCTGGGATGACAGGCGTGAGCCACCACGCCTGACCAGATACTGTATTATCTCCCATCCCACAGGTGTACTAACTCCACGGCAGCAGGACCTTTAAAGCCACACGAGGTTACAGATGTTAAACAGGCCACGTATGCTCTAGTACATCCCTGCCATTTAGAGTGAGGGACTGGGTTGCTCAGATGGATATTTGACAACTATTAGAGGGATTTGGGCCAGGTTTTTGCATCAGATTTTCTTTAAGTAAGACCCATTCAGACATAAAATATTTCTGAGGAAAAATCCTGCTAACAGGGTTAATGCAGAAACATATCTATGCAAAACAACCCAAACACTCAGGGCCAAAGCCAGGGGGAAAAAACAGCAGCAACAACAACCAACAATTCAGCTCATGACGAAAAACAGTAATTGTCTTGAGCAAGTCAAAAGCCAGTTTAAAACACAAATGCTACATTTATCCAAGTTGCTAATGCCCACTAGCTTCTTTACTAAGAGACTGACTTAGAATGGAGAAGTTGAAGAAAAGTCTCTAAACTGATATTGTCCTGGGCTACCACTCCCGGGGTTAAGATCCTTGTCACTTCAGGCCTGGAGGATGCAATTAGTCTCCTATTATCCTTTAGTTTTTCCCTGTTCTAACTTGTCCTGAGTATTTTTCTGAACTGTTGTTTTAAAACCTCCAATGACTCCCCTTTATCACAAGATTAAATTCACTCCTGTCATCTGGCCTTTGGGGCACTCCACACTTTGTGATTTTCTCTGGCTGTTAACTTGGTGTCATACAACAAAATGCAGTGGGTTCTCAGCATCGCTGGGTGGGACCTAAGAAAGTAATAGCAGGAGCAAGTACCCTGGTATTGCTGCCTCGTAACCAGGTAGGTATTTCCATTCAATGCCAATAAAACTGTCCAGGGAGGTCATTCAAATGCCAAGCACGCCTTCCTTTGCTCTGGGGTATATGGGTTGTAATACAGCTTTCAACAAGAATAGATAGACCTTGTGTGTCTGTAGTCCTAGCCACTTAGAAGGCTGAGGCAGGAGGATCCTTTGAACCCAGCTCAGGCAAGGTTACAGTGAGCTACAATCATGCCACAAGATAGACCTGACTTATTATGCATGTATTAAGCTCCCCAATATCCTAAACCTAGAACTAATAAGCTATCTTATTCCTAATACAGTAAAGTTGCTGATTAGAATGGTTTAATTAGGTTGGTTTGCGCGATGGTTATTTTTATGTGTCAGCTTTACTGGATTAAAGGATAGTCAGATAGCTGGTAAAACATAATTTCTGGGTGTGTCTGTGAGGGTGTTTGCAAAAGAGATTGGCATTTGACTCATTAGACTGAGTAAAGATCCGCCTTCACCAACATGGGCAGCATCATTCAATCCACTGAGGACTTGGATGGAAGAAAAATGCAGAGGAAGGGCTGACTTGCTAGAACATCATCCTCTATGCCCTCAAACATGTGAGCTCCCCAAGTTCTTGGGGCTGTGGTCTCTGGGACTTAAACCAGTGATCCAACATGACTCACCTCCCAACCCACCTCCCAGACTGGGAGTCACAACATCAGTTCCCCTGGTTCTCAGCCCTTCAGAGACAGACTGAATTACACCACCAGCTTTCTTGGTTCTCCTGGTTGCAGATGGCATTAACATGAGACTCTTTACCTCCAAGACTATGTGAGCCACTTCTCATAATAAATCTCCTCTTATATATCTTCATATATATTCTACTGGTTCCATTTTTCTACAGAACCCTAATACAGGTTGCCTCTGTACTACTTTTTGAAATAGAACACTTAATATTTGTTAAGTATTTAAGTGGAATATTTGAAAACTTGTCTTAACAGAAACTTTAAGGCCAGGAGCAATGGCTCATGCCTGTAATCCCAGCACTTTGGGAGGCCAAGGTGGGGAGATCACCTGAGGTCAGGAGTTTGAGACCAGCCTGGCCAACATGATGAAACCCTCATCTTTACTAAAAATACAAAAAAATTAGCCAGGCATGGTGGCAGTCACCTGTAATCCCATCTACTGGGGAGCCTGAAGCAGGAAAATCACTTGAACCTGGGAGGTGGAGGTTGCAGTGAGCAGAGATCACGCCACTGTACTCTAGCCTGGGTGACAGAGTGAGACTCTGTCTCAAAAAACAAAAAAAACAAACTTTAAGTAATTGAGAAATATTATTCATTTGTACACAGCTAATATCCTATTTATAAACATTCTCATTTATTCATAAAAGCAACTGCTCAAGAACATTATCCTATTTCCAGTTACTAATTTTTTAAATAATCTGACTCTGTACTAATTTAGACGACTTTTATACTCGATTAGACTAAATTTATGGAAATTTATCTGAAAACTGACTCTAGGCTAAAGTCAAGCCTTTAGTCTCATCCTATTGACATCACAGGGAGGCAGCAGCTGAGGCTGCAGTGGGAGATGAATGACAAGAGCTGAGTGTGGGACAAGGGCTCTTACCTTCAGCAACTTCATCAGCTCTTCTAGCTGGACCATCAGCTCCCGCCTGCTCTCCTGCAGGGCTGACATCCTCTGCTCCAGTTCATCCTTCCTTTGCCTGTCCAAGAGGAGAAGCCCATCAGATAAAGGGACCCTCAAAGATGGATCTCAGGCCAGGTGAAATGGATTTCAGACCTGATCCTGCTACTTACCAGTTATGAGACACTGAGCAAGTCATTTAGCCTCTGATACTGCATAAAATTAGGTGATAATGTCTGTTTTACCTACTTTCCTGGACTGTTCTGAGAATAATAGGTAAGAGTGCTTGGGAAAGTTTACACTACCATATAAAGATATGATTCATATTATTAGAGTGAATGAATGATTTAAAAGCTCTTTAGAAAGTCAATGCCTTTCAAAAAATATATAAAACTAGCCCAAATTTAGATTAATAGTGGAGAAATCGTATTAAACTGCTCAGAGAAAATGGGGTTCAGTAGTAAGTACTTTCGGCACTAGAAAGAGTCAAGAAGGGTGACAGGTCGGGACGGCTCCCTGGGTCTAAGAACAGTCACTTTTCCTTGAGGATAGATTTTATGCCATCTACTCTAGCTCAGTATGTCCAAAACCAGGCTTAAGACTTTTCTCCCTAAGTAGGTTTCTTTCCTAATTTCCTTCTCTCTGCTATTTTTTCTTCCAGGGGTGTCATGGCTGAAAAACTCAGTCCTCTTTGTTACTTTCTTCTTTATATCCTATATTCAATCAATAACTATATTCAGATCATTTTTCTTGAAAAATTTATGTGCTTTTCTATTCCTATTTCTCTCACTTTATCTAAGCACTCTTTACCTCAAGCATGCAACAGTCTCCTAGTGTGATTAATCCTGCTTTCATTGTGTGTGTGTGTGTGTGTGTGTGTGTGTGTGTGTGTGTGTGTGTGAGAGACAGAGAGAGAGAGAGAGAGACAGGCTCTCAATCTGTCACCCAGGCTGGAGTGCAGTGGCACAGTCTTGGCTCACTGCAACCTCTACCCCCTGGATTCAAGTGATTCTCCCACCTCAGCCTCCTGAGTAGCTGGGATTACAGGCATCTGCCACTATGCCAAGCTAGTTTTTGTATTTTTAGTAGAGATGGGGTTTCATCATGTTGCCCAGGCTGGTCTTGAACTCCTGACCTCAAGTGATCCACCCGCCTCAGCCTCCCAAAGTGCTGGCATTACAGGCGTGAGCCACCACGTCTGGCTCTTTCATCTTATGGTGAGAAAAAAGCAGTGGAATGGAAATCAACAGCCTCAGAGTTTAGTATCAGCCCCAGTATTTACCAAATATGCAACCTTAGACAAGTCGCTTAGCCTCAGTTTTCTCTCCTCTAAAAGGGGACTAATAACATAACAGCAACAATATTCTGAGGATCATATAAGGTAATAAATATGAGAATGTTCTATGAACTTTAAACTGCTGCTCAAATCAAAGCTATGTTCATTTCATCATCCCATAATGATCTCAACAGAATCTCTAGCATCACTGACCCTTGCCCTGCACAATCTAGACCCATGCTAACACAGTAGCCACCAGCCACGTGGGACTACTGAGCATCTGAAACATGGCTAGTCTGCATTGAGATGCCCTGCAATTGGAACATACACTGGAATTCAAAGACTTGGTACAGAAAAACCAAAATATCTCAATCATGTTTTAATACTGATTACACGTTGAAAGGATAATATTTGGAAAACATCAGGTTAAGTAAAATATAGTATTAAAATTAATGATACATTACTTTTTGGTTTCTTACTAAGGCTGTTAGAAAATTTTTAATGACGTATGTGGCCTCCGTTATAATTCTATCGGAAAGTGCGGCTCTAGAGTCCATCTACATTCCTATCCTTAGCACCTCACCTCCTATTTTATGCCTTTTGTGTCTGGACTTCCAGTTTATGGTTCGCTTTTCCTAAGTGGGCTCCATCATTTTATAATTCACCTCTCTTCCAAATCTCATTCATCCCTTAACGTGTGACTCAGCATCACGGTCAGGAAGCTGCTCCTGCTCACTTCAGCAGGACCTGCTCAATTAAGCACTACAGAAATCAGTGCTCCTCCGTGGCACTTCGTTTACTTTACTCACTGCCACTCCTGCCATGGGCTTACTCATCTTTGCATGTATTGAAACATTAAGAAAGTATCATGTATCCAGTACTGCCCAATCAACATCTACTGAACTTACCAAAATCATGATTTGAAACTCTCCAAGGATTTCCAGTGACCTAACAATTAAGACTCTCTAGAATCTGGTCTCAATTGTCTGGCTAATTGTATCTCCTATCACTGGCACTCTAAAGATTGATGTAATAAAGGACTGAAAATAATTCTCAGTTCCAAGACTCTTTCCCTTTCCTGAAATGTGCCATAATTATTTGAGGGAATCATGCTGAACCCCAAGCCAACTTCCAACCTAAAATGTTTTGTCCTATACTCCATCCAAATCCTACCTACCTTTCACGGTCCAGCTCAACTTCTATCATCTCCATAGGTCCAAATGCTTCCAGAGGAACATTAGACCCACAAAGATATAGACATAATATTAAAATGTAGATATAATAGATAATATTATAAAATACCAGTATTAGATATAATATTAGATAACATAATATATATTATGTAATATAGGTATATCTATATCTTTGTTATATATTATATATTATACAATATGTAACATATATAATATATATTATATAACATTGGTATTAAATATGTAAAATATCTTGTGTATACATACACATTATATTACATATATTTCCCTACACCGATTTCTCATGCATACTGTTTGTTGACATGGCACAGTATTATTTAACTACCAAATTATTTTATGTTTTGTTCCAAAGCTAGATTATAAGTTTTTAGGATGGCCTCATTGTCTTCTAGTCTTCATACACCTTAAATTTTCAGTGCAGTAGACCCTCGAGAAGAAGGATCTACTCAATGTTCTAGGAAGACTTCCTCCCCTGAACTCTTAAGCCTGGATGCAATTCTTTATCTGTATTGTGTGTGACTAAACAATTACAGTGCAAGGTGAAAATGAATGAGCTATAGCTTCATGAAACAATATGGAAGGATCCTAATATGGTGGGGGTAGGGGGTGGAGAGGGAAGTCCTCTGGGACTACCCCCACCATATTAGGATAATATTTCTATTAAGTTTAGAAAACGAAAAGCAAAACTAAACAGTTTGTTATATAGGATAATGACAATGCGATAATATAGTTTTAAATACAAGGTAAGGATAAGCCAAATTCTGGATAGAGGTTCACTCAGCGGGAAAGGTGGAGACGAGGAAACGGGGTAAGGAAGGGGCACTTCTATGGATGACATTGTTTTAGTTATATAGGAGTTCTCAAATAGGATGTGGGCTCCTAAGTATTCATTTGACTATTATGCTTCATATCTTATACGTTTGTCACACACATTTGTCATACATTTTACTGTAAGCAACATACCATTAAAAATAGTGATAAAACAAGAAAAGACAACCCTGGTGGTCAAGACTCATAACCACTCATCCTATGGGTGAAGTTCTCTACCTTGTTTTATTATACGAGCTGGGTACTGGCAGTCCCTGGCCTCATACATACTGATCAAAACCAGACGGATGTCAGATACCTACAAGTGAATCCTACCCTTTATGTGTCTTTTGATAGGCAAAGTTCTTAATATTAATGTAAATGTGAATTTACCAACTTCTTCTTTCATGGTAATTCTGAGAAATTACTTTCTATTCCAAAATCCTGAAGAAATTCTCCTACTTTTTTTCTAGAAGATTTAAAGTTCTGTATTCATGTCTAATCCATCTGGTGTTGGTTTCTGCAATTAGTGTGAGGTAGAAGGCCACTATGTTTTGTACACAGGCATAAACAACCATTCCAGCACACTTTACAATAGTCCCTCCTTTTTTCAACGATAGAGAAACTGCTTTTGAGGTTAAATACTTCCTGATTTCTCAACCTTCAGACCGTCCTTGGTCTCAGATTACATTCCTGCTTCTTGCTATCCTATGTGACATCCCTGGACTCAGCCCTGCTACAGCTAAGAAATTTTTCAGATCCTTCCAGCTTAACTGAGCACTTTTAGCAATCCTAGTTTCAGCAATAGTTAGACTCAGGATGACAGGCCTTTTTGCTTGTCTAGATATAAGACCAGGCACTAGACAACAGGTGCATATTATGCCAACAGCCCAGACTTACACTCTGCCCAAGTCAGTGCTCCCATCCTCCCTAGTATGACACCAGCTGTGCTAATAGTCCAGATGTGCAGCAGTGAACCACAGAGCCACCAAAATCTCAGCCTAACTACCTTGAGAAACTCAAACAAGTGTTTAGGAGAATGAGAATTTCTATATATCTAATGATTTTTTTAATCTGCACAGTTTAAATTCTTTATGATTCTACTATGACAATTTTTATTGATGATATAAATCTCAACAGTAGGATAGCTACAGAAAGCAATAATCTTCATTCTCTGGGAAAAGAAATAAGAGGCTACACAAAACCCCAGATGATAGAAAATTAAAAATCAACCTCAGCAGAAAGAACCCACTATTGGAAAATCTAGAGATCTGGTAAGAATCAAGTCACTACATGTAGTTTCCATAATATCTTAACTTACTGAAGAGCACTTACAGACACACACACACACATACACCCCTCTTTCTAAGGCTCATAGGAAATAAGACCCTAATAATGGATCAAATCACTTCTGAGAAGACTTTCTCATTCCCTCCAAGACAGCATCAAGCTGGGTGCTGATGCTGCTCTCTATTCCCATTCTCATCCTATGTCAGTTTCCTGATTCTTGAGACACTTTGTGTAGAAGTCTTGGTGCCAGGGTTTCATGTCTCAGAGGTGCGCACAGGAAGCATCCTTCTCCTCCGGCAGAGCCCTGCACTGACTGTAAAGTGCCAGGAGAATGTACTCACAGGAAAGGCAAAGTGTTATTACTGACAAGTGTCTCTAAAGTCAGACAAATTAGCAAGATAAGAGGGACTGCAGCACAGTGGTCTTCTTAAAGCAATCACAGAAGTATAAACACTGCCTGGCTGGTCCCGGAGCTGGAAGACTGGTATTTACCAAGTTCTGTGTTAACGGCTGACATTCCTAGAGTGATTTCTAATGGAACCCAGACATCTGAAGCAGAAACAGAATGGGGAAACTCTTCAGTGGTTTGCTCTCACCAGGACTGTTTATACTGAACAGATTCTGCCTTTGGTTTCCTAAGTTCCCACTGTAGCAGATTACATGTGGGAAGTGGTAGTGTATCCCTACTCACCTCAGCAGCCGCAGCTCTGCCAGCAGCGTGGGGTTCTGCTGTGCCTTCTCAGGGGTGGGCTGGGAGGCCTGCTCGTGTTCCAGGCGGAGACGCTGGATCTCCTGCAGGATCTCTCTAGAGAGGACGGGTGAACGGAAAGGGGCTGCACAGTGCTTCGCATCCATGCTCTCTCTTTCCCTGTTACAAGTTTTCAACTCTAGCAGTGCCTCCTCTACCACTCTTGTTCCAATTGCTTCCAAATGGCCAAGATGTGAAATGGACACCTTCTCAATACTACTTCACCTGACATTTCCTTAACAAAGCAATCCTTTGTGGTGGAAAAAGTCATAAAAATACTCTCCTCAAGGACCTGAAAAATCTCCATGAAAGGAAAATTACAGCCAGCATACTTTACTTATTCTGTTCTACTCAGCGAGGAGGAAAAGGGAACTCCTTGCAACCTCCTAATGCAGGTCCTGCACCGACTTTCCTTAATCCTTCCCTGCCCCTTCCTTCTCTTGTTCCCGATGCCCTGATAGACAGCTGTGTTACCTCTACCTATGCCTGTTACCTTAGGTCAGGTCTCCTTGTCCTGGCTTCCACCTTTCAGTGCATAATGGTGTGCCGTCTGCTCTCTGTGCCTTTAAATGGCTTTTAAAAAACTAATTTTTAGACGGCCCTTTGCTCTTGTTGCCCAGGCTGGACTGCAACAGCACAACCTCGGCTCACTGCAACCCTCATCTCCCAGATTCAAGCGATCTCGCACCTCAGCCTCCTGAGTAACTGAGATTACAGGCACACGCCATGCCTGGCTACTTTTTTGTATTTTTAGTAGAGATGGAGTTTCACTATATTGGCCAGGCTGGTCTTGAACTCCTGACCTAAAGTGATCCGCCTGCCTTGGCCTCCCAAAGTGCTGGGATTACAGGTATGAGCCACTGTGTCTGGCCCCCGCCTTTTTTTTAAACGAGAGACCAGACAGTCCTGCATAGCATAACGGGTCAGGACAAGATGACTACAGCAAAATGCTGCTGGGAAGCAGGGTGGAAAATGCAATTGTGAAAGGGGGTCACACAGATGGGTGGGAGAAGGCCCTGGGAAAAGCAGTCCCCTGAGGGCAGGTGAGCAGGGCTTTGGACTACCAGAATTAACAGCATGCACAGAGACACAAATTGGTGCCCAGGACACTCACTGGACTTGGGCTAGCGGTAGGTTCACGGAGGCTAGATCTTCCGTGGGGGTCAAAAACCACCGAGTATCTCAGGAAAATGAGAATCAGACACGCACGTGATAATCCTGGACTTGAGAATGGGCTCAGCCTCTGTGTTCTCACCTGTTTTTGTTTTCCAGTTCTGCGATAAGCTGTCTTTGTTGTTTGTTGGCATCGAAGTTAAAGCTCAAGTCAGTGGGAGGACGAGTCTAAAATGGGGAGAAAGATTTTGGTTTTTGTTTTTTTTATTTTCTGATCCAAATATACCCAGAGTTCTAGATTGAGTGATTTTTAAAAAACAGATTTTTGAGGTATAATTTACATATCATAAATCCATGCATTTTAAGTGAACAAGGATTCTTAGTAAATTTAAACAGTTGTGCCACCAATCACCACAGTCCAGTTTTAGAACATTTTCCATCACCACAAAACATTTCCTCATGCCCGTTTGTCACCAGTTGCCACTCCCATCCCCAACCTCAGGCAGCCCACAGGTCAGCTTTCTGTCTACAGTTTTGCCTTTTCTAGAAACTTCATATGAATGGAATCATGCAACACATTGTCTTTGGTTTCTGGCTTCCACTTAGCATGATGTTTTTGGGGTTAATTCATGTTGGTTCCATGAACTAGTAGTTCTTTTTTTTGAGAGAAGGTGTTGCACTGTCACCCAGGCTGGTATGCAGTATGCAGTGGCATGATCATAGCTCACTGAGTAGATGGGACTACAGGCACATGCCACCATGCCTGGCCTAGTAGTTCCTTCTTTTTTATTGCTGTGTAGACTATTCTGTTGCTTCCAGCTTTTGGTTATTATTAATGAAGCTGCTACGAACTTTCATTTACAAGGGTTTTTCCATGTATGTTTTCATTTCTCTGGGGTAAATACCTAGGAGTAAAATTCCTGAATTATATGATACCTATATTTAACATCTGAGGAACTCCCAAATCGCTTTCCAAAGTGACTGCACCATTTTATAACTGCATTAATAATGAATGAGATTTCCAAATTTCTCTACATCTTCACCAACACCTGTTATTTTATTTACTTATTTTTTTTCTTTTAACTATTCTAGTGGGTATGAAGTTCATAATAGTGAGTTTTTTGAAAATTAAGATATAATTAACCTACTATAAAATCCACTTTTAAAAAGTATATAATTAAGTAGGCTTTTTTTTCTTTTCTTTTCTTTTTTTTTTTGAGACATAGAGTCTTGCTCTGTTGCCCAGGCTGGACTGCAGTAGTGTGATCTTGGTTCACTGCAACGTCTGCCTCCCAAGTTCAAGCAATTCTCCTGCCTCACCCTCCGGAGCAGCTGTGACTACAGGTGCATGTCACCATGCTGGGCTAATTTTTTTTTTTTTTTTTTTTTTAGTAGAGACAGGGTTTCACCATGTTGGCCAGGCTGGTCTCAAACTCCTGACCTCAAATGATCCACCCACCTCAGCCTTCCAAAGTCCTGGGATTACAGGTGTGAGTCACCACGCTTGGACCAATTTAGTTATGAAACCATCACCTCTATCTAATTCCAGAATATTTTCACCACCCCAAAAAGAAACAGCATACCCTAAACAGTCTTTCCCCATTCTCCCTTCCCTTGCCCCTGACCTCCATTATCTGTCTCTATGAATTTGCCTATTCTGGATATTTCATATAAACGTAACCATACAATATTGACCTTTTATGTCTATCTTCTTTCACTTAGATTTCTTTTTTTTTTTTTTTTTTTTTTGAGATAGTCTTGCTTTGTCACCCAGGCTGCAGTGCAGTGGCGATATGGTTCTGGAGTGTAATAAAATCTTAGAATCGGCCGGGCGCGGTGGCTCAAGCGTGTAATCCCAGCACTTTGGGAGGCTGAGGCGGGTGGATCACGAGGTCAAGAGATCGAGACCATCCTGGTCAACATGATGAAACCCCGTCTCTACTAAAAATACAAAAAATTAGCTGGGCACGGTGGCGCGTGCCTGTAATCCCAGCTACTCAGGAGGCTGAGGCAGGAGAATTGCCTGAACCCAGGAGGCGGAGGTTGCGGTGAGCCGAGATCGCGCCATTGCACTCCAGCCTGGGTAACAAGAGCGAAACTCCGTCTCAAAAAAAAAAAAAAAATCGTAGAATCTTGGTAGTCAAAACATTATGTTCATGCCACTAAAACTCAAAAGAAGTTCCCAGGTCCAGTGAGCAACCTGGAGGTTGTAACATTTAAAGCAAGAGATACCCAGAAAAAAACCTAAAGCTGGAGGCCTCTGAACTGACCTCTACCTCGTGCCTGTAGCAGGCATCCCGGAACGGACTCAACTTCCCGTGGGAAACAATGACTGCTGCCCCTGGCTCGTGGCTAGCAGCCCATACTCTAGTGCTCCCCATGTATTTTGGTTCCAATCAGTTGTGTTGCATGCTTAACAAGACTCGTTGTCTGTTCCTCACTGGAACGACTGCACTTGCAAGTATGTAACCTAATTAAATATCCCAAAAATCAATGAGATAGGAGGATGAAAGTAGGTTTCTATTTCTTGGAAAACCAAGTTGAATGAGTTGGAGACTCCACAGAGATGAGCTTCTAGAATAAATTGGTACTGACTTAGCTGAAGGTGAGACAGCTGTAAAGATTTGTAAAAATTATAAAGAGAAATTTTGTACTCTTAGATCATAAGAGCTATTAAGTTCTCATTTCATTGTAAAGGACTGAAAAAGGAAGTTGAACTTGCATCATGGGAGAACATTTTAAGAAGAGGAGACAACCCGGAGCTCCAGAGGACCTTCACTCAATGAATAGGCTTGGCCCTACATCCAAATATACAGGCGGGCATACAGAGCAATGTGAAGGTACTTAGGTATCATTTTATGGTTCCCTATTTTAACTCACTTAAAAATGTAGTCGGAATATTTTTAACATAGACAAAAGGAGAGAAAATAATGTATTTCCATATACTCAAACTAGGTTAAAACAGTTATAAAGATTTTTGACACATTTGCTTCATCTATTCCATATTTTGTTTCTCTTTGAAGTATTTTAATGCAAATTCTTGAAAACAATTCACCCTACAGATGTCAGCAGACATCTCCAGAAATATTTTAAGCCAGCTTGTGATTGCTCACCAATCTATGGTTCAGGAAACTGGACTTCTACTGGGCACCAAGTCATTCACCTACAGGCCTACCTCTCCCCTCTCTTTGCTTTAATTCAGAAGACCTTAAGGTAAACAGATTCCTGGATCCTGAATGATCCCTGATTCATGTGGAAGGACATCTCTGAAGCTTCAACTCAGTGATTTACTTCCCCAAACCTATTCCTTTCATGCTTAAAATGAAACCACATGTGTAACAACCCGATTCCTGGGAGTCCAGAGCAAGCCTAAATTTTCAGTGAACATCCTGAGGCAATCTGTATTGAACCAGGTTCACTGCAAAAATCTAGTTAGGATCATTTCCCAAAGAGCTCAGAACAACCCTAGGAATGGATTCATGGGCCGTCCTACAATCTGCCAGTGGCAAGCTAAAGTAGCATTACTCACAGATATCAGAGATAATCCACTCGCTTCTAGGCCCTTGGGTTGCTTTAATTCTTTCCTTTTTCTTTTGTTCAACAACATAACAAGTATATTTTACTTACTGCAATTTTTAAATGTCACATTCTGAATATTATCCTGTACCAGTGGCTTCACTGTTATATAACTTGTTTGGTAAAGTTATGCTGACAGCTTTACTGAGGCAGTGTAACATGATGCATCAATGTCCTCTGGTACTGAATGTGGGCATTAGCAACTTGGTGTTGTGTGTTAGGGAAGTGGAGAATCGGGGTGTATCTAATAAATTTCTTCATGAAGGTCTCATGTCATTAGGTAGAATTTGCTCTTTCAAGAAGTTTCTTGATCACCTCTGAAGTAATAAACAAAAAACTTAACAGGGTCTTAACAAAAATTTACAGACTGAAAAGTTGCAAACCTCTATCAAATTCAAAGCCAGGGCTGTTTTCAATCAGGGAAACCTGAATCCTAAGGAAGAACCAGAAATATTTTTTTCAAAGACACTCAGGCATCATAGGCATTCCTAAGTTGTGAAATGAAAATACGGTTTCCTAGAAAGTTAGGATAGAGACGGTATGTAATCTGCATTCTGGCTAAGATGATGACATGAACCTTTTCAACTTTTCCCTAAACTGATTACTTTTTTTCCCTCTAAATTTTTCTGGACTAAACAGGTTTCAGAAATCAAGAGAACTTCAGGGTTCAGATTTTTGAACTTTTAATAAGTCCAGAGAGTTGGCTTATCTTTGGCAAGCTGGCCTAAAGTCTCAACAACATCTAGTCTTTTCTAGTTCAAGGTGAGCTAATGAGGGCCCTACTAAAGGGCAAAACGTGGCCTGAAAGAGTAAAAGTACAGGTCCCTTGCCAAGAAGACAGATTGCAGAGAGGAATGTGATAGATTAACAGAGAAAGTAAAATTATTGCCTTGTGCCCTCTATCTAAAACTAATGGTTTTCAACTAAGAGTCACATCTAGCATGCCAGGTGACTCTAGCTTATCCCTAGTCCGGAAACGTTTCTCTCGGTCAGTGGTTATCAAATTTGGCCACACACTCCAATCACCTAGAGGGATTTGTAAACCCTCAGTGCTCAGAGTGTATCATCCAAGAACTACTAAATCAGTTTCTGGAAGTGGGCTTAGGCAGCAGCAGTTCTCAGGTGATTTCAGTGTGCAACCAAGGTCGATGTACTGCTCTAAGCATCAGAGTTCTTGTTAAAACTGACAGAACTGGGACACTGCAGAACATCTCCTGCACATTTTGGTTGTTTTCAGGAAAAAAACAATTTACTTAGCACCAAATACCAAAAACATTGGTTGTGTGTAAGTCAAAAACACTGGTGGTGTATATGTGACTGCGAGTATGGAAAGTGATCGCAGAAGAGAATTCAAAGGGTACCACATTCACAAATAAAGTCACATAACCCTGTATTTGAATCTCAAGTCTAGCTGGAGAACCTTGCGAAAGATGATTTAACCTTTTTCTGCCTTGGTTACCTTTTTTGTAAAATCACATTAGGAATCATCTATCCTCCAGAGTTGCTCTTAGAACCAGAGGTAATATTTCTAAAATATCCAGCATAGGGTTATGAATACAGATGGCTCTCAAAATGGTAGCTGTTATTTCTCATTCTGTTATTAGGTCAAAGCAGTTAGGCAGGGTAACATCTGGAGGAAAACGACTTTTCAG